CTGTAATCTACCTGATCTTCTCACCACCTGGATATTCCTATGTATTTACCTTCTTTCACATTGTAATTGTTTTGATCATAGACTGACTTCTCAGATCCTCTGAATTTATTCTTATAGTTTTGTTCTGTTCTAGACTCTTCCATTTGTCAGTTGAGTTCCAGGTGGTGCTGCCATGTATATCAATCTTGGTTGTTGTCTGTTCTTGTTGGTTCTCAGTCCACATAACTCCCTTTAGGATGTTTTGCAGTGCAGGGTTGGCTTTGGCAAAATCCCTTAGCTTCTCTTTATGCTGGAATATTTTGATTACACCATTGTATTTGATTGGCAGTTTTGCTAGGTAGAGGATTCTTGGTTGGCAGTTTTTTTTTCTTTCAGGGTTTTATATATGTCTCCCATTGCTTTCTTGCCTTCATGGTTTCTGCTGAGAGATCCAAGCTTAGTCTGACTTGCTTGCCTTTGTATGTAACACTTTTCCCTAGCTGCTTTCAGGATTCTCTCCTTATTTTTGATTTTGGAGAGCTTGATTATTATATGTCTTAGTGATTTTCTTTTGGGGTCTATCTCCTTCCTGGGGTTCATTGAGCTTATTGAATGCTTTTCTTTTTGCTTTTCAGGATGTTAGGAAAATTGTCTTCCAGCAGCTCTTCAACTGTCTCCTACGTGGACTTGTGTGATTATTCCTGTTCTGGAATGCTGATAATTCTTAAGTTATTCTTCTTCATGTTGTCCAACATGAATCTTAGACCTTCTTTAGATTTTTTAATCCTTTTTTCAGTTTGCTCTTCTACCTTAGTAGTATTGAGAGATTTGTCTTCCAGCTCACTTAGTTCTGGCTTCCATCTCTTCAGTTCTACTCCTTTGCCCTTTCAGGGTATTGTTCATTTCTGATTTTCCATTATCAATCATTTGGACCTCTTTCTGTAGGTTTTGAATTGTTTCTAATGCTATATCTATCTTATTTGATTGTTCCTGTAGCACTTTCCTGACTTCTTCCTCATTTTTCTCAATTCCTCTGTAAAGTGTTTTGATATATTTTATTAACATTTTTCTGAATTCCTTCTCAGGCATTTCCAAAGCCTGCCCTCCTTCCAATATGGAGTTTAGGTCTACCTCCAGATCATTGGTCTCAGTCACTTTATCTTGTTTCTGGACATGTCCAGAGATGGTCATTTGTTTCTTGGGCATCTTGAGTAAGCTGTGACCTTAATACTTAGATGAATCTATGAAGATATTTTGTTATGCTTTCTGATTGCCTCCAGGTAGATAATGATCAGGAGATGGGCTTCCCTTTTCACTCTTCTTTATTACTCAACTCAGTAGCAATTGCAGGTGTTGACTGCCTTCCTGGTGTATGGCAACTGGTTTTGGTTCTTGCCTGGATGGTGTGATTGTAGCTTGACTATATGACTGCAATTGCTGTCTCTTCTCAGGTAATCTAGGGAGTGAGAGAACCCCCAAAAGGTAAAGAGGTGATCAAAAAACAAAACAGCAACAGCAAAAAAGACCATTTGGATACTGTAGTCGATAATTGTAGAAAAAAAAGAGAAGAGTGGGGAAAAAATTCTATATCCAAATATAAGTATGAATTAAAATCTCTCTCTTGGCTCCTTGCCTTCAAGGCGGCCTGAGAAATTTCAGTATGCCACTGTTGGTCATTACGACATAACTCAGGATTTAATTTTCAGCCTGTTTCCTTTTTCATCTGTGTCTCTCTTGCTCCACAACCCCCATTCAGGCCTTTTTCCTAGTAATAATTCAGGGCTGGCTGTGGCCATTTCGTGCTGCTGTTTGTTTTTTAAGTGGGGCCTTTCCCTTTAAATTCTGAGCAGATCTGTGCGTGTGCACAGTAGAATCCTTTGGGGTGGTGAGTGGGGTGTCCACTCCCTCTGGCACCCACTCTTGTGATCAGAATGGAGGTACGCAGAGACCAATAAACAGGTTTACAAAAAAAAAAAAGTGTCCACACCTTTATCTCCACAGACTGGTCAGGTGTCCATGGTGGATCTGATCCTTGCTCTGCTCAGTCTTGTCCAAGATGGCCCCTCCAGGAGCCGCTGAGCCTGGTGGATTCCGAAAGCACTAGATTTCTTGCTTCCATAACAAATGCCACTGTCTGTACACCTCCAAACTTTCTAAATATTCCTTATATGTGATTCAGAGTTCTGGGACTGTCCCGTGAACCTGCTTCATCCAGTATTCTGTGTTATTGCTGAGGGATATCCTCACTGTACTTCTCCCCAATCCACCACCATGCTCCCTTGGATTTTTTTTTTTTTAAGAATATTTTCTTCTTATATACTTTGCACTTACCATTTCATACTTTCTTAACATAGAGATATCTGCTGAAAAGGATCTCCTACAATTACTAAAAATAGCCCAAATCTTCATCATTAATAACAAGGTAGTAACCACATAGGAAAAAAAAGAACTTATTTTCCTTACTGCAATTTTGTGTCTGAAAGTATTTATTGTGAAATAGTGTGCTATATTAAGATCTATATTATCGGAAATAGTAATGATCATTTTTGTGGTTACAGGTACAGATCCAAGTGAGAAATAGCAAAGCTTCTTTTGACAAGTTAAAGATGGATGTTTGCCAGAAAGTGGATTTACTTGGAGCTAGTCGCTGCAATATGTTATCTCATTCCCTCGCTACCTACCAGGTACCCAATTCCACGGTCAGCATGTCCTTGCAGTAAAAATGAGTGGTGA